CCTCCTGCTATGTATATATAACATCGGCTGGTATTGCCAAGGAATGCGACATGTTTTGCCTGGGATTTCCATGTGGAATGTCATGTATTTCCTTCGAATCTCCTCTCCCAGAATGAAACGGAAGTTAATCTGGAGGACAGGGGAGGTTGTTCCTCTTGGACAGGCAGGGAAATGCACCAAGAATTGCTTAGATTTAAGCAACTTTTCGTGCTACAATTTTGCTTAGTGTCTGCGCTCTGGCAATGGCTGAAGCCAGATAAAAACTGTGACACTAAAAAGCTGTTGTTCTTTGCACACAGGAATCATCTCTCAGCCTGACCATGCGGTGCAGGAGCTTACACTGGGGTCTTTCCAGTGCGGTGAGCCGTCAGCTCTCGAGCCCAGGTGACCAGCCCTGTCTCTGCTAGCATCCTTTGCGTAAGTATTGCTTGAGTTTCGGTTCCTTAGCAGCTAGCACTGCTTCCTCTCTGGTTTGTCCTCACTTCGAGCTTCAGAGAATCAGTGTCATTGATTACTGTGTCTGTGGCTTTGCGACGTTAGGACGGAGTGATGGGAGAGCAACACCACTGGGAATAAAAGAGCAATGCCATAAACTTTGCATAACCAAATGCCAGCCTCAGAGAGTGTTTAGAGGAAAACCTTTATATTCACTTCAAGAATACCAGATAATCCCTTCACTGAAGATTTTTATGTGCAGGATCAAAGTATCCCAAAGTACTCTATTTTTAATTAATAATACCTGCAGAACTAACACCATGTCTCAGTCTTTTTGGTTTTAAATCCACAGGAGAGCAAATGCATGCTCTGAAGCTCGTAGTAGAGATTGCTGTTCTCTCCCTTATGATTTGTGTTGTGATACTATGGCAGTGACTGGAGCTAGGACTGTTGTGTTAGCTTCTGTGCAAGCACAGATGAAAAGACACATTGCTGGGCCAACTGTTGAAAGGTCAGCAGATCAGCGCAGGGATTTTAGCTGAATTACCTGTATTCAGGCCCCCAGACCTGGGCGAAAAGCAGCAAGGTGCCCAGCTCAGCAGTCCTCTCTCCGGTTTATTTGGTAGTAGCTGTAATTTATAAAACATCACTTGTTTGAGGGACTGCCAAGACTCTGATGGGAAATGTAACGTACAGTTTTGCTTGTTGGACTAATATTGATTGTTTTGGAAATAGCTTATAGATGTGTTTTTCTTCAGGGGGAGAAGGGGACTAATTTTGCCAAGAAACACTTTGGTCATTGTTTCCATTAAATGTGTGTATAGAGATAAATGTGGCTGTGCTGCTGCTGAAACCATCAACAGTCGTTACTGCTTTTGTTTTAGCCTCTGCCTTACGCTTAGGGAGAACTGGGAGATGGGTCCAACGGAGAAATAAGAAAAACTTTTATATAAAGATTGTCAAAGTCCTAATTTCCTCAGATCTAACCAAAGCTGCCACAGCCACAAAACTGGTGGTCTCGGGGGTGAATTTACTGGTTTGCCTTACTGTTTGTTGCAGAGCCGTGACCTTCGCAAGGATTGTAAAGTTTTATTTTATGATCCTGCTGGTAAAGAGATGTATGTAATTTACTATACGAGTTCTTACAGACTTGGCTAACAACACGTTTGACCCAGAGTTCAAAGAAATTATGGCTCCCGTTGTTTTATTGCTGCTGTAAAATGTATTATTATCTGTCCTACAGCTGTGTCTCGCTGTCTGCTACACAAGGTGTTTGGCAAAGATGCTGTAAAGGGAGAGCTTTCACATAAAGGGCAGGAGAGGGGCAAGACGGTGTGGCCATTTAAAAGACGTACACTAGGTCTGTCAGAAATTGTAGGCTCGATTATGGGTGAGATGACTTCAGAATCCTTGTTGCTCTTATAGCTGACACTGTTGTACAGCGGGAAATTGAGGCACGGAGCAATTAAGCTGCTTGCCCAAGGTTATGGAAGATGTGTGGCAGAATCATGGAACTGACCCAAATCAACCAAATCCTTGCTCACTGCCTTCCCACAAGACTTCCCTCTGTTCGCCTTTGGGTGCGCTGCCACACCAGAAGCCAGGCAGGATGTTTGCAACTGATCTGGTTTCAAACGCATTTTTGGCATTTCTAAGATCCTAGACTGTGCTTCAGTGATTTTTATCTATCCCTGTATGTCCCGAGGCCTTTCAGAGATAGCAATCCTGCTGTCTATTTTTATTACTCTTACAATTGATTTTTTCTGAATAATTTGAGGCAGCCAACAGAGTACATTTTTTATTTTCTTTGCAAAGCTTGATCTTGCTTTTTGCTCTTGTATATCTTGCTGTCTTCAGCTAGTTAATGTACTGATATTTGTATGTG